TCTGGCATTCCACATTTTCACAAGTTTCAAGGTTAAGAAAGAAAGTTGCCACTTTTCTGACATTCAATGAACTCTTCTCCTTTGTCTTTACATTCGAAAAAAAGGTTTTATATAAGAAAACTTTTTATTTCCTTAAGTAATTGATTTCCAGGACTCTTCAGCATATTTTCATTAACGATGTTAACAACATTGTGTTATACTGGCGTATCTTGAGTACATACCTTAGATTATGACCATCAGGAATCCAGTCCTATTTAAATGCATATGTGAGCTTGGCAAAAGGGTTAAAGAAAATTCATTTTTCAATTAAATTTATTATATTTTCTAGATAAGTCATTTTCATAGATTTGGTTCATTTGAAGTAAAAATATGATTATACCACTTGCACCAGTTAATTACAGGTTTGATGAAGGATAATTACTAGAATGTGTTCTTTTATGGAGATAGTGAATTAAAAAGTTGTATCAGATATAATATTCTCAAAAACATATGATGAAAAAATATCTACTAAGAATGAAAAGTCAGTAAATATCGAGCAATAGAGGAATTTAGTTGGCTATAAAAGATACATAGAAAAATGCCTAAAATCATAGCTTTCATTCTGACTCTTCCTTTGAAATTCAATAGCTTTTTCAAGTTCTTTTTCTCTCTTATGCTTCATTCAGATGCCCCATCATCACAGAGAACAGAACAATGAGCCATCTTCTGATGAAAAAACTAAGTAGACAATTTAAAACATGTATTTGAATATAGAAGGTATTTAACTCAACATGCTATGTTAAAGGATATTGATTGGTGTGCTTTCCCACAAAAGACTGAATGATATGTCTCTTTTGAATGTACAAAATAGAACTAAATAAAAAGAATAGAATATTTTTAAAATGAGCACCCATAGAGACATGAAATTACGTTGTTTGCCTTCTGAAAGTTATCTGTAGATTCCAAAACATTGTGTCATAAAAACTAGTATTTATAAAGAATGAGGACTGTGTTTGATTTTGAACAACATAATTTTTTTAATATCTCTGAATCAAGATTGTTTACAGGGCAGGCATGTTGTTTCTCAAATTCATTTTTCTCAAAAGAAATTGATAACATTTGCTACATTCTGCTGTCAAAATGGGAAATTCTAAGGAGAAGATAGTTTAAGTTTAATGTATTTACAATGACAAATCAGTCCTTAGAGATACTTTCATTAGCAGAAATCATTGTCACAAATCTAGTAAGTTGAGATGTGAAGTTTGTCCTATATAGTCTAAATAAGCATATACAGAAGTATAAAGTAAATGCTATGTTCAAATTTCATTCATAGACAATGAATCAGAAATAATTAATTTCAAGGATGTTGTATGTCTGCCAAGAAATTCATTTGATCTTTGTTCACATTAATTGAGGTATTCAGAAAATGGCTTAGTATGTGCCACCTAATTTGAGTTTTACTACTTATCCAACTTTATCCTTCACAATTAGTGAGCTTCTCCACTGGGATCTAAAGTTTCTTTTGTTTCTCAAAGGTAATATGACTTCCTATTTAAAAGGTAGAAAATTACTCTTTACTCCTCTTGGATCAGTCCTTCAGGTTTGGAGACTTGGAGAGCCAATGGTCAGGATTGTTGGGTTTCTTCTTTATTGCAATTGCACCGCTCACTCCTCGATTTTATCTCTAATTACACAGTTTTGCCATTTCTGGATAATTTGCTTGATTTCCCCCATTAGACTTGAAGTGCCATGGAGACAGGGCTATGCTTAGTTTTTAGTCACCTTTGCCTCAAGGCGTCTTGGAGCACAAGTTTGAGTCATTGATCAGAACCAAGGACATTTGATTCAAATAAAAAATATAGAGGTTTTATTGAGAGACAAAGCAATTTAAAAATTGGATATGACAAGGTCCAGATAATCTATCTAAGTGATCCAAGGAGGAGATAAATCCATGACTTTTAAATAAAAAAAATACCAGGAACCTCAATAAAAATTCAGGACAGGTTAACATTTAGGTAATGATCACAAAATTGAGTGAGAGTACATCTCACTGGATAGAAACTATGTGTCTAATTTTTAGGTTACACAGTAATCATTAAATTAGGTGCAATCACAAAATCAGCTACAACCTAATTATATTGGGTGCATGACACCCTCCTTGCATGACTGCCAGGAGGACAAAAGTAATTCTGATGTCTGTCTTGAGTAGGAATATATTCTGTGAGTTACTTAAATTGAAATTCCTAAACATGGTGTATTTTAAGCAGACAAAATACTTAAGCAGGCAAAATCTTATTTGTTGTTGGGTGCTATCAAGATCAGATAAAGGCCTTATTACTAAAATCTATAATATTCTGCTAGCTTCCAAAAAGAAAAAAAGGTAATTGCCCACTTGAGAGGTGGGCAAAGAACTTGAACAGAAGTTTCACAGAGGCAGAAATCTGTATGGCCAACAAACATATGACAAAATGTTCTTGATCTTTAGCCATAAGAGAAATGCAAATTAAAACAACAGTGAGGTACCACCTAACACCCTCAAAGGTAGGCCAATTCAAAAAATCAGAAAGCAAGTGTTGGAGGGTCTGGGGTCTTAAAAACTTGAAGGTAAACAAGCAACCATCTAGCTCAGAAGGAACAAAGGCCACATGGAAGAACACATCCGCCTGTGTGAGCACGAGGTGCCAAAGGGATCAGTTATCTGGCGTCAAAGAACAAAAAATCATATCATTGTGTGCTCACCTCCATGATACGATTGCTGAAGACAAATGGGTGCATGAGCAAATGTGGTGAAGAAAGCTGATGGTGCCCGGCTATCAAAAGGTATAGCATCTGGGGTCTCAAAGCCTTGAAGGTAAACAAGCAGCCATCTAACTCAGAAGCAACAAAGCCCACATGGAAGAAGCACACCAGCCTGTATGATCACGAGGTGTCGAAGGGATCAGGTATAAGGCATCATCAGAACAAAAAATCTTACCATAGTGAATGAGGGGGGAGTTGGGAGTGGAGACCCAAAGCCCATTACATTAGTAGGCCACTGGAGATCCCCTTGCAGAGGGGTCTCGGGGAGAAGAAGAGCCAGTCAGGGTGCAATGTAACAACGATGAGAAATACAACTTTCCTCTAGTTCCTAAATGTTTCCTCCCCGCTCCCACTACCATGACTCGAATTCGACCTTGCAAGTCTGGCTAGACCAGAGGATGTACACTGGTGCAGATAGAAACTGGAAACACAGGGAATCCAGGGCAGATGATCCCTTCAGGACCAGTGGTGTGAATGGTGATACAGGTAGGGTAGAGGAAGAGTGGGTTGGAAAGAGGGAACCGATTACAAGGATCTATATGTGACCTCCTCCTTGGGAGATGGACAACAGAAAAGTGGGTGAAGGGAGACGTCAGACAGAGCAAGATATGACAAAATAATAATTTATAAATTATGAAGGGCTCTTGAGGGAGGGGGCAGGGTAAAGGGTGGGGTAAAATGAGGACGTGATGCCGGGGGCTTAAGTGGAGACCAATTGTTTTGAGAATGATGAGGGCAATGATAAGAGTCATATGAGCCCCTAATAAAACTATTAAAAAAAAGATAATTTTGACTCATACTGAGCCATGCTCGACAGAACGAAATGCTGACCGGTCCTGTGCCACCATCAGATATACTGCTAGCTTTGACCTCATTGCTGTAGCCATTTTGTCAATACTGCTTGTTGAGTGTCTTCCTCTCTTTTTGCTGACCCTCTACTTTACCAATGTTAATGTCATCCTTTATGAATGAACCCCTCCTGACAACATGTTCAAAGTTCTTGAGACAATGTCTCATTATTCTTGCAGCCTAAGAACATTCTGCCTTTACCTATGCATTTCCAAGACAGATTTATCTGTTCTCTAGTCATCGTGGTGAAAGGGAAGTGAATTATTTAATGTGTGTCCTTTGGAAAAATTTGCTAATTTCCAGCAAAGTTAAGATTATGCTATATTTCTAGCATTTGGTTACTAGATGACTAACTCTGTTACCCTCTCTGTCATTGCACTGTGAGAGTTTTAGTCTTTGGTCCCGATCAATACATGCTCCATGTCATTCTCACTTTTAGAAGAAGTGTTTGTCAAGTAGTTTTTTTCAGTGTACAGGGGAATTGTACAGAAATGACAGTCTGCATTCATGATGTAGAAGTTACTTTAGAGTCAAAAGGAAATTTGACCTCATATCATAGTATGTCAATTGTCTGTCGGTATGTGATACTATGGTGTCTTGTGTATTGCTATGATCCTGGAATCTATGTCACTGGTATGTCAAATGCCAAACAGTTCATCCAAAGTCAACAGCTATATCAGAGCTTCCAAACTAAGAGCATACTTGGCTCCCCACTTCGGAAGAAGTCCCTGGAAAATTATGCACAGCTTGAAAACTTGTCAGATACTGCGGGCCTAATGAATGGAAGCAGAACATTGTTGGAGATTATGCCAGAGGATGGACACCCACGGGTCTAAGCACATTCAAATTGTGACTGAGGAGGAGCTAATGACTCTGTGGAGTCCACCCTGGTGATGTGAGGGGATGAAATCTCTTTGAGTGGAGCTTTTACATTCTTCATTTGCTGATCGGCATGACTCATGATAAGAAGAAGTGGCGGCAAAAATCTACTAATGCTTAGAATTTGTAATGTGCCAAGTATGAATCTAAGAAAATTTGAAGTAATCAAAAATGAAAGGGAAATCATAAAGGTCAATATGTTAGACATTAAGGAGCTGAAATGGACTGGAATTTGCATTTTGAATCAGAAAATCATATGATTTACTATGTCAGGAATAACAAAATGAAGAGGGATGGCCTGACATTCATTGACAAAAGTACATTGCTAAATCCATCATGAAGTACAAGATGTCTGTGCTAGGATTATACCTAACTACCTTCAAGGACATCCAATCAATAAAACCATTATTCCAATGTATCCACCAACCACAAAAACTAGTGATGAAAAACATTGAAGAATACTACAGCAACCAAAATATGACCTTGACATTCTCTCACTTGAATGTTGAGGATATCTGAAGAACACCTTTGGTGCTTTGTACACTAATGATTGAAAACCTGATGAGCCATGTGCTGACCCCTGCAATTTCCCCAAATGTGGGAAACTGGACTGCATAATTTGTGGTAGTGGGGGACGGCATCTGCGCTCTCCCCTGACCAAAAATAAAAAAGAAAGAAAACCTGATGAGCTGTGGGAGGACATCACGAATATAACTGATGAAGAAGCAAAAAGTCATTACAAAGACAGGAAAGAAAGTAAAGATCAAAGTAGATGTTAGAAGAGGCTCTGAAACTTGCATTTATTCTTCAAATAACTAAAGAAAATGGATGAAACGATTGAGTCAAAAAGCTGAATAGAAGTTTTCAAAGGGCAGCTGAAGAAGACAAAATAATATATTATAATTAAATATATAAAGATGCAGAATTAGAAAACCAAAGGGAAGGACATGCCTAGCATATTCAAAATGAAGGAACTGAAGAAAAAGTAAATCCTTGAGTTTCACTATTGAAAGATCCTAAGGGATATAGTGGTGAATGTTTACCCGTTGGGCTGGGATATGTATGGTCAATAGTTGAAACATCAAGCAATTCTGCAGGAAGAAAAGACTGAGCTTGCTCCTCCTATAATCAGTTACAGTCAAGGAAACCCACACAGGTCTCTAGGAGTCAGCAATGACTTAATGCATGTGAGTTTGTTTTTTGGAGGAATCGATAGGATACAATTTGGAATATTTCTACTAGTTGCTGAAGCACTGGAAGCACTCAGTCTATGCCAGAAAACTTGGAATACACTTAGTTGGCCAACTGAATAGAAAAGATCCATATCTGTACTAATTGCAAAGAAAGGTAGCCCAACACAACGATCAAATTAGAGAACAATATCATTGATATCATATGTAATTAAAATGTTTATGAACATCATCCAACAACAGGTAGCTGCCAGAAGCTTGGGCCAGATTCAGAAGAGGACATGGAACAAGGAATGGCTGATATCATAGGATCTTCGCTCAAAGCAAAGAATGCTAGAAACATGTTTACTTGGGTTTATTTGCTATCAAAAGGCATTTGACTATGTGGATCATAACAAACTATGGATAACCTTGGGAAGAATGGGAATTCTAGAACACCTCATTGTGCTCCTGCAGAACTTGTACATGGATCACGAGGCAGTTACAGGAATGGAACAAGAGACTACGCATGACTTAAAATCAGAAAAAGTTTGTGACAAGATTGTATCTTGTCATTACACTTATTCAATCTGTATGCTGTGCAAATAATCAGAGAATCTGGCTTATATGAAGAAGAATATGGTATCAGGATTGGAAGAAGGATAATTAACAACCTGTGATATGCAGATGACACAACTTTGCTTGCTGAAAGTGAGGAGAATTTGAAGCACTTGCTGACAAAGATCAAGAATTACAGTCTACAGTATGGATTGCAACTCAATGTAAAGAAGACCAAAATTCTGGCATCTGGTTCAATAGGTAAATAAATCATGATAAAAGGAGGAAAGATTGAAGTTTCCATAGATTTCATCTTGCTTGGATCCACAATCAACGCTCATGGAAACAGCAGTCAAGAGATCAAAAGACCAGTTGCAATGGGTAAATCTGCTGCACAAGACATCTTTAAACTATTGAAAAGCAAGGATGTAACTTTGAGGACTAACGTGAACCTCACCTAAGCCATAGTATTTTCAAAAGTCTCATATACATATGAAAGTTTACCATTGAATAAAGAAGCCTGAAGAGAAATTGATGCATTTGAATTGTGGTGCTGGAGAAGAATATTGACAGTAACATGGGTTGCTCAAAGGACAAAACCATCTGTTTTGGAAGAAGTATGACCAGAGTGCTCCTTGGAGGCAAGGATGGTGACATTCTGTGTTACATTTTTGGATACATTCACAGGAGTGACCAGTCCCTAGAGAAAGACCTCATGTTTGGTAAAGTAGAGAGGCAGAAAAAGAGGGGAAGGCCCTCAAGGAGATGGATTTGCACTATCTCTGAAACAATGGCCTCAATCGTAAGAACAATTGTGAAGATGGTGCAGCACTGAGCGGTATTTCATTCTGTTGTGCAAAGCGTCACTATGGGTCAGAACATGATGGCACCTTAGTATAGACACTACCACATGTCATGAGCTTTGAGTTACTTTGTGGTACTGTTATTTTCTGCTTCCTTCTGATCATAAATCTAGTTAGAAAGTGTCCTTGGCTACATGCTAAGCTTTCTCCCATAGTGGGCTAGTGTTCCATCTTTAGCGTGAATTAGTTTTCATATTTTCTGATCATTGATAAATGAGCAACTTGTTCTTCCCCAAGGTCCTTTCTTGTTGAATCAAAGTCTGTCTCTATAAACATGTAAGCATATACATACTGTAATTAGATAGCTGGGCACCACTGGATGTTAAACAGTTGGTTGTTCATCAGTAGCTAAACTGAAATACAATACTTCATATGATATGAGGAAGAGGCTGCTGTAAGATATACATCATTCAATATTTGAGGACGTGGTAGCTATAGCAATAGAAATGGTTATAATTGAATCTGTTTATAATAATTATGAAGACCACAACAAATTCTCCTGGGCAATTCTCTAAAGATATCTTCAATGGGTAAATCAGGCATATGATAACACAATAAAGTCATGTAACTTCTAGTAGATTTGTTTAATATTTAATATGTTGTTCTTCTTCCCCTGAAGAGTCTATTCAAATATAACAGGAAGTATTAATAACAGGACAGGTTTTTGCTTGTCGAGCTTCAAGGAAATTGAGGATAATTTTTCAATTTTTTAATCTAGCACAACTTTGACAAAGGGTCTAATGTTTGTTTAGGCTGCCATCCTATCAGCAATATCTATTTGTTCCATAGTGGCATATACATTGTGGAACAATTCCTCAATTGTTTCAGGGAATGGCCATAAACTGTTAAGAGGGCTCAGGGAATACTCATTCTTCTTCAGGTTTCTTTTGATAAAGAGTTTTCATTAGATTCTGTAAGTTTTCTTTAACAGCAGGAAAAAGTCTTTAAATTATTTGGCCAATATGTGCTTTCAAGATAGAAATGTTAACTTCGAAACCACCAGCCTCTCTGCAGGAAAAAGATGAGGATTTCTACTCCTGTAACAGTTACAGTCTTGGAAACCCACTGATGCAGTTCTACAAATAGGGTTGCTGTGAGTTAGACTTAACTTGATGGCAGTGAGAGAGAAAGAAGGTCAGGAAGAAGAGGAAAACATCAAGGAGATGAATTGACAGTGGTTACAATACTAGGCGCAAACAGAACATTGTGAGTATGGTGTTCACAGGGTAGCATTTCATTCCATTGTCTATAGTGCCACTATAAGCCGGAGCTGACTTGCCAAAACCTAAAAGCAGCAACACAACCACTAAAATTGGGTATTTATAATAAGAAAAAATATTTTAATTTTCCTATTTTTACACTTCAATAACTTAATTTTTGCCATAGTCATCACACTGAGAGAACATTTCAACAGATATGGAACACGTGGGCTTGGAATAGTGCCAGATCTCAACTACCATATAAACTCTTTTCTACACTAATCTAGCACCGCTGGCTTAAGTGCCATGCCTTTTCATTATTTTTCCACTTTAGCAAGAAAAGCATAGGTTTAACTTCTTCTATCACATTACACCATGGAGTAAAACTTGGATATCAAACAAAAAGACAAATCTAAATATTGGTATTAATTTGAAAATGATTGAGTGCAGTGACTACCTAACACAACTGGGAGTCACATCATTCGCATTTTTTTTAAAGTCGACCAAAACTTTCTGGTAGAAAATAAAACTAAATTATTAAATAAATTAATATTTGATCACTTTTTATTGTAAATTAGGTGAGGGGTTATATTTTACGTAATCAATTTTACGTTCAAAAGTTAAAGTAATAATGAATAATACCCCTTCAAAAAAAGCTTACCCTCCCTTCAATCTGTGATTTCCCTTCTACCTCTTATAGATTATGATTTTCCACTTTTTACCCAAGCTAACACCCCTCAACTGTCTAGGTTACTGAGCCATCTATCCTCTTTTGTCCCCACCTCCACCCCACTTTGGCAATCTCCAAATCTGAGTTCTTTGGTATAAAAGTCTTTATATTGCTAGTTTTTTCACCTCTTAACAATGGTTTCATAAATTGTTTGTCCTTTTGTGATTGACTAATTCCACTTAGCATACTATTCTCCAGATCCATTCCTGCCATGTCAGCTACATCCATGCATCATGGTTTCATCTGCTCATGGAAATCCATTCAGTGATTTATTTAAGATTTGTTGTATATTCCTGAAAGCATATCATTTTAGTTTCCTGTTAAGGAGGCTGTGTTTAACCCATTTCATATGTGTTGTTCCTTGTTGAAGATGTGTTGTCTGTAGATGTATGGATCTATTTCTGGGCTCTCTGTTCTATCTCTGGGTCTATTTCTCTACCTTATATGGTATTTAACCTAAAGATGAAAAATATTTCTGAGAATCGAATACTTTCGTAGACCATAACTCTTTCTACATCTTTTTAAATATTTGACTAAAGTTTAGTCCTTATAGCTTTAAGGATAAAGTTGAAATTTGTAGCTTTTAGTATTACATACTAATAATATGCTGAAAATTTCAGTTCTCAGGAAAACAACATATAGGCCCTGGTGTTCATGAAAAAAATTTTAAATACATTTTTATCTTTTTTATAGGGAATTATTATAGAGCAGACATTCAAAATATGTAAGGATAAATCATGACAAGAGAAAAATAATTTTGAAGAGAAAACGGAACAGAAATATGAATTACAGAATAACCAGCCATCAAAGAGGATCCACTTTATATAAAAGGTTGAGGGTGTTGTATTTCAAGAGTAGTTCAGATCCCTGAGCGTGTTGGTAAAATTGTGGTGACTAGCACTTACTTTGGATTTCTTTGATAAGCTTTTATCAGGTAGAAAACAATACTTAGAATCTTCATTCCTTACTATTTGAAATGCCACAGTTTTAATTAATGGTTTGTAGGTGGGTTATCTGCTAAATTTAGTACCTGGCTTATTTGGTATCAGTGAGAATCTATTATCTATTATATTGTACGTTTTTGTCCTCAGAATAGCATCACCACCTCAAAACACACACACACACACACACACACAC